CATAACCATTCAGAACAGAATTGATAATGAACATCCCTTTATTTTTTATTTTTTATTTTTAACGCCTACAGCACCTGGTCTTCCTAGGTGGTCTCCCATTCAATTACTAACCAGGCCCGAAATGAACATTCCTTTAATGTGACAGATAGGAAGGTTTACTATCAATGTAATTTAAAAAGCAGATGATGGCATTTCAAATTATATTGGTTTTTATTTACTGTTCATTTAATTTTATGAGTGCCAGACACATAGTAGGTTCTTAATAATTATCATTACATGAATGAATAAATGAATGAAGATCTCCTTTAGGACAGACAGTACATTCAATCTAAAGTAAATCTGTTATAAGGTAAAATATAAAATCAATGGAACAAAATTGCTGGAGGTAAAGCTGACCATTTTAATGAAAGGTAAATTAGATTTGAGTTTTTAATTAAACACATTGCTACATCTTCAATTATCCAGAATATCACATAATTGGAGCAGAGAAATCATGTAATAGCTGCTAACATTTATTGAGTGATAAATATGTGTCAAACATTGTGATACATATTGACATATATTAGTTTATTTAATCTTCAGAGCTGCTCTAGATAGATGGTATTATTTTTATATTATAATATATTATAATAATTTTATAGAAGAGAAATTTGAGGTTCTCAGAGATTAAGTAATTTGCCCAAGATAGCACAGACGGTAAGCATAGAGTTGGGTTTTGAACAGACAGCCTTGCTCCAGAGTCTACAACCATAACCATTAAACTGTTTTGCCCCAGACAATAAAGATGTCCACACCCTGAGGTAAGCCAGAGTTAGAGTATGGCCAAAAACACAGAGAGTGAAGAAGAAAGTTGGGACTGCCTGATGGGTGCAAGAGTGGCTAGGCCTGAGGCCAGAGCACAGTGTTGCTGGGTATTGTCAGGGAGGGGGAAATTCCCCCTCTACCTTTCTTTAGTTCTTACTGCAAGACTAATAATAAAATTGATACAAGAGCAGATTAAGAAATAATTTAATATGTGAGCACGAGAAATCATAATTGATGCTCAAGATCATAATTGATGCTCAAGATCATAAAATAATGTTCAGAGAAATCTCTAAGTAGGTACATTTTTATACTTTTTAGACAAAGAAATAAACTTTTGAGGAACTGACAGGACAAAAGCAGTGCTCATTAGTAATGAATCTAAGCAAAGTTTGGGCTTGGGTAATAAATTAATAAAGAGGCAACAAGGTTTGTTTATGTGCGCTTTTGGCTCTGGATTCCTTAACTCTAGGGATAAGAGTATCCTCTCAGCCTCCAGGTACAGGAAGGGCACTTCTCACATGTAAGATTTATCTCTTGCTTTAAGAGGGGCATATAGAGAGGTCAGAGTGTTCTTGCATTGGTAGTTTCTTAAGTAACTTTATTTCAAAATAATCAATATTCCATTATGGGATATTTTGGTGTGGCCTACCCTGAGCCCCAACAGTTTCCAGAACTGGAGAACTGTTTGTATCGAGGAAATAGAAAATGTAAAAAATAAAGGGAATGGAATAGGTCAGAGTTTTGGAAGGAAACTGAAGGTCAGTGTCTGATCATGTTGAGTCAGGCACTAGCAATTAGAAACCCAAGAAATGGCATCTAGATTAAATATTCAGAGACTTAAACATGGAATTCAATCATGTATGGATAATAGTGGGAACAAGAAATGACACAATAGTGTAACAACTCTTCGCTTTGGTTCTTTTTGAAGCAAGGGGCTAACTTTCAAGCTTGTTAGGCTAGGAACTAGAGTGAAAAATAAGGGGCAGCACAGTCATAGACTAATATGGCCCCATGGCCCTTGCTCCTTCATTCTTTGTCTCCCTTTCACTGCATGATCTAGTTCTCTGTATATAGTATGTGAAATATATCTATATTAAATGTCAGACATAATCTTAACTGTCGAAATACCTTGCCAGGCTGCAGGAATCAACAACTTTGAATATTCTCAGGCAAGGTTTTTCTATGGTCAAGTTTCCCAGTAAACACTCAGCCAGTTTTTGTGGAATTAAGATTTTTTTTTTTTGGACAAAAGCCTGATCCAGAATCCAGCGTAGCTTAATCCTAACTGAATTATTTATTGTAGTACCCTCTTGGCATTAAGGAAGACTCAATTGATACATGTGAATGATGTCTTAAAGAATGCATACCACCCATTGGAGGGCTCTAATATCATTTTTATCACGTCAATAATACTGAACAAAAGGTAACTATGGAGCAAAAAATATTTAAGTAATTTTGGCAAAGGTGTGTCCTGGCAAGTTTACTTATCAAAACTGGTAATTTGTGGTTTATAAGATTTGTATTCATCAAGTGCTTTAACATATCTCTCTAGGGAGGTTTTAAAAAGAAAGACTTTGAAGGCCCATAAGGTAAGTTAAGGGATTTATCAGCCAGTGGCAGAAAAATATGATACATAGCAACAGTTTCCAGTTCCTTCTCTGAGCTTTATTTAT